ATTCCTGTGGTCATTTCTGCGAACGGGTTAATCCCAGTCAGCCTCCCGGGTCATCTGAGGCGACTGGGACTCCGTGACGGACCGCTCCAGGCTCAAATGCAGAAGGCGGTGCCCCTTGATACCGCCCGCATCGTCCGCCGGTTTCTTTCCCTTTCCCCCTAACCCTCGGCCATCTGGTCTCCCCTGCCGAGGGCTTCCATCTGGTTGGGTTTTTATATATTTATGTATTTATTTTATTTTATTCATATTTATGTATGTTTACCATTTTCATTTACAATTATACATTTATACTGCCCAACCAGATGAGAAAACTTTGTAGATACTCCAAAATAATAAAATAATATATATAATAATAAAATAACAAATATAAATAAATAAACATAATTAAACAAATAAATAAGCAGTTTTGTTAATGAGGATATTTTTCATGAAATAAAAAAAACACCAATTCGATCACGAAAGTTGTAATCATGTCATTGATTTAGCTAAGAGTGTTATGGAAAAATACATAGACATACTCATAAGATTACTCATCCAGGAAGACAGATCCTAAGAATTATGTGAGACAATTTTATACTAAGATTATCCATTTTAAAAATCAGTCAAATATATATTTATAAATTAAATGTACAAATATATGTATACAATGTTTAATTTTTTAATAAACATCAAATAAAAATTGATCAATATATTTATTTATCATTATCAATAATCAATAAATCCCAAATTTATCGATCAACGTCCCAACCCTGTTCCATCACTATGGTTTGGTACATTCTAAGTTTGACCTTTAAATATCCAATCACAGCGCATTTGCCACGTCCCCCGCAACCCTTGCATAGGGCCAAATTTGGTGAACTCGAAACAGAACAAATATTCAATGATGCGGTATCTATTAGAGATTTGGGGGTAATCTGTGCTTAGAACTATACTCGTGTCTAACTCGACTCACCGATGTCGCCCCTCGCCCCTTACTTTGCTACGCTCGCGCGATGACGCGTGACAAATTAGGACCCAAAAGAGATTTGTAGCTTTGATTGCACGATCGTACGTTTAAACCCATACTGTAACACTCCCCCTCCCCCTCTCTATCTACCGTATCTATCTTATCTATAAAATATAAAATATTTCCATGACCGATATAATAACCATATATTGATCTTTCTAAAGGTTTAATTATAGGCCGTTAATAAATTTATGGCGTGATCGTCTTAATTAGAACCCTTATTTACGTTGTGTTTGCTTAGAACTTAGTTCTTTTAGGTAACCCTTGGAAGAATGAATATTCACTAGAGCAATTGAAAGCGGTTAGTAGTGCCTTATAAGCTAAAGAACCCAGTTCACGAAGACAGGGCTCAAAAAGTTTAAGAACATTAAATCGTCTCTATTTCACTTGCATCAGGTTCACGTCAGTCAATTCCTTATTAATAAATCCCTTCCCACTTGGAAAAGGCTCGCAATATTTATTTATAATATAACCCTATGCAAGGGCCTCGCTCTCCAACATTTTATAAAAAACATGGGGGAGGCACACAGCTCCACACGTACCGTGTGCGGTGGGCGTCAACCATCCAACGTGCTTCCCCCGAAGGGGACGTTAAGTTGGGAACTAGACCGTAGTCCACAGCAAATTAACTGACGTACCAGTCAAGGAGGGCTTAGTCCCTTGGTAGTGCTTAAGCACAAACATCGACCGAGGTCGCGCATGTCAATGCGTGTAAACGCAATACAGAATACGATCAAATCCAGCCACAGTGAATGTACGTCACACACTTTAGGCAACGAGTCGAATAATATTCACATTGGCCATAAAAAGCCCTCCGTCAGCGCCACCAAGTGTAACGCAAGTGTAAGGCATTACCACCAATTCCATAATCAGCACGGCTACTAGCCGCAGAGCTTGTCATGAGTGTACCGCTCACCTTAAGTAAATGGGATCCCACGTTGCACAGCTTTCGGCCGCAGCCTTGAGTGCTTTCACAGACTCTCCCTCCAGCTATCACCCACATGAGGTCGACACATATGCTCCACCAACCAATTCAACGACAGATATAACCAAAAGGCAGTTATAAGATAATAGTAATAATTTGCCATTAGAAAGGGTTTGTGTCACTGACTTTGAGTACATGCATTTTCGATCATGTTTGTCTCATCCACCAAAAATTTGCTTTCAATCACCTAAAGGTGGGAAATTTACAGATATACATTATTATGTTCTTATATAAAACATCATGGAGGGCAGACAGTCTGCAGCCCCGCAATGAAGGGACCCGACTTGGGCAAAGCTACCTAGGTTGTGAGTCAAACCAAAAAGCAAAGAGCACGATTGAGAATAGCGACCCCCAAACAACCATCGCAGAGACGCACTGCTGCGAAACGCAATAAGCATCTATACGACTATCATCGACTTACACCATCCCAAGGTTCCTTATAAAATCCCTCAGACATCACCACCCGCATATCTTCATCGACCAGAACCGCAAGATGCGTCGAATCAGGCGCAGCACACCCGCAGATCCATCACAAGACGCAATACCGCAAGTAGCAGTAAACATCAATGTAACTATCATACGGATGGCGCCCCCTCACAACACACCCACATGATCCCCGTCGAATTTGGTAACACAATTGATACTGTTGTTAACTAGAAATCCACGTGTCATAGCGCTTTTGTACAAATATATTGAGTTGAGTATACTTGCTGCACTTAAAATTACTACCTAACACACTCACCCTAATCCAAAAGATAGCCGACGTATCATAACGCCATACGCTAAAACGCCGCCCACAAACGGTAGGAGTATGCGAAGTCCACGGGCAAGTCGTATTGCTACAATAAACCCGCTTAACACCGGCACTAAGATAATATGTCTAGGACACATTGGTTAGCGAGTCCAAGTTTACCTCGGTCTCACGCTGTGAAGCAATCTACACGCCACTATAATAATCCTTCTCAAATCTCATTTCTTCAAAATATAAAATAATAATAATAAAAATATATTTTTCCAAAAAAACTTCATTACATAAACAGCCTCCAGTAATACAAGAACACCCTCACTAACTTTTCAACTCACTTTTCAATTATAATTATTGTTGTAATATGATCGACTTGTATTCTATTATTTAATACATTTTAAATATTTTAAGCGGACTGTTAATAAATTTATAGGATTTTAAAAACAATATTAAACCTTTACTATACTATAATACCTACTTAATGTTCGGAATAAATGTATTTGAACTTTATGGGTATTAACACATCTTAAATTTTCAAAATTTTTAATCTATGATATTTTTAAATTTATTAATTCTTGTGATAAAAAAAAATCCCAAATGAAACATAAAAGGTTATTGATTACACACGTTGTTAAATAAATCTTATGAAAATACTGTCCAGCCATTTCGGAGATTAGCCGGAACAAACAGACAGACAGACAGACCGAGAGACAGACAAAAATTTTAAAAATTGTGTTTTTGTTTTAAGTGCCGTATATACACTTATATGCATTGAGTAGAAAGCTGTTATTTTAACATTACAAACAGACACTTCAATTTTATTTATTTGTATAGATAATTGAAGGGGCCTAGCACCATGTGTTAGTTTAGTCGGTCCAGAGCTGTAGGAGGGACATATGAGAAGAAGATTTATTATTTAATTATTGATGCAGCGCACGGTGTAGTTGCTCTAAAGAGGCACGACTTTTTCCGACTTAGATGACAAATATCATCATAAATTTTGGACATAGTATAAAATATACACATAATATATAGTTTATATCCATCTGGATTATTGTACCTTTAATTGGATTATTGTTGACTGTGCCAATTGCTGTTTAATAGTGTTGCGTTATACATATTTTGTAGATTAAGGTGTAGCTTATCTGTCAAATTTTAAGTCGGCGGCTTGTGGTACACGGTAAAGTTTTTTCATTAAGCTTATGTTGTACCGTAATATATTCTCTGTATTATCTGTAATTTGTTAAATAAATAAATAAATAAATGGTGAAAGAAATTTTTAAATAAGTGCAGTGGTTCCGGAGATTACCCTCCACATATATACAAACTCACAAAATTCGCACTCTCTCTTTGTAACATTAGTATAGATATTATAGATTGAGATTGATAAATATATAACTTGTCCCTTATTGAGGACTTCCGTGTGGTTGTGTTTTGATTCACTTAATATTATAATATATTATACAAACATATTTATACAATTCACACTCATTATATTTTATTTGATCTTACCTTATAATTATCGTCATTATCATTACAGCCTATTTCTTTTGAATTATCTAAATTACATAGACATATACTCGCATTATGTGTGCTCATGTTTAGAAAAAAATCGCTTTACCTTCTTTCACTTTTCTAATGACACAGTTAATTTGAATTATGTTATAATGATAAAACCAATCTTACCAGCCTCGAACACAGACGCAAGGTAGCCAGCCTTTTGTTTTTCTACAGGATGTATTTTGGAGAGTGTGCTCAGGAATTGCATAATTTAATTCCTCCCTCCCCCTTCCAAAATCGGACAACCAGACGTTTGGCTAGTCTCCACCCTTTCGTTGTTGACTTACCACGCATTGGAACTAAACGGTTTGCTATATCATTCATCATGCGTACAGTAAAGGAGTGGAATAATTTACCAGCATCTGTCTTTCCATCCGATTACAGCGTGGCTGTGTTCAAGGCAAGAGTGAATAGGCTTTTGTTAAGTCAGTGCGCTTCACCATCTTAGGCTACATCATCACTTACCATCAGGTGGGGCTGTAGCTAAGCGCTGACTTAGAATTATAAAAATAATAATAATTAAATGTTGTTAGAAAAACGAGTAAGTTGTTAATTTTCTATCTACGTCAAATTTTATATCCACAATTAAAAAAGAAAACAAAAATATGTTTTAAGATTTATTTACATCTTACATATTTAATTTTAACATCAACAATAATTAAAACGTTACATGTAGCTATTTTTTTTTTCTTGATTGGACATACTTAGTCGACATTATTTCGTTCGATCGATCTTTTTAAATTTTTTCTGTAGTCATAGAAAAACCAGCTGGAAAAAAAAGTATTTTTAAAAAGTATGTACCAACTTCGAAGAACTAAAAAGAATAAAATCATCGAAATCGGTTGACGTAGTAAATAAATAACTATTCGCCTATATGCCATGCGTTAATAAATTGTAGAGTTTGATGATTTTCTTCTGGTTCGTCAGACCTTGCCCAAATGGAATCATTGAAATCGGCCAATGTGGTAAAGAATTATTGTTGAACATATATCAGAATATGTATGTTAAAATTCCGACGAATTAAGAACTTCCTCCCCCACCTCCATTTATAGATGTTTGTTCAAGATTGCAATTAATATATATGATCCACTAATATATCTTTCTTTATCAACAACTAGTAAAAGTCAATAGTTGGGTATGTGTATCTGCTATTATAAGGAGAATTTGCCAACATGGCCATCCTTGACAGGCTTGGTAATCACTTTACCGGTCCAGTCTAGCCAGACCTCGTGGCCAATCTAGTTAATTTACGTCTGACGTAAAAAAAATATTTAAAAACATCAATTGGGGACCCATATGATTTTTCTTGCACTTCCCAAAGTCATCTCTTATGAAAATGACGGTAGAAAATTGTGTGATGGATTTCCTTACCCTCCGCTACATAGCATGTGGTATTTTTATTTATTTAAGCTTCCGACAGTTGGCAGTATCAGTATCCTACGTGTTGAGTTGATGACAATAAGTGAGAAGATGTAAAGACACTGTGACAGATGAGAAGAAAAAGAAGCTTTTTGAGATAATGAAAGCTGGTTGAACTTACATGAATGCACAAACAGCTGGTAGAGTCATGGCAGCTCCCAACAGGAATACTGCTCCCGGCAGTCCTTCCATTGTTGCAGTGTACATTTTTGTATACATCGGAATATAGAGGAGAGGCATGAGATTTTCAGTTAAGGCGAATAACGAGTTCACTTTACCTGAAATTAAATGTAAAGTTTCCTTTTTAATTTTATTTATTATATTTTCTACCAAGGATCCTTCTGGATTGGTGCCTGCGCTTATGAGGTGTTCCGTCTTAGTTATTAGGTTTGATAATGCACCAATGGCTTAGTTACGTGCCTGTGAACGTAACTATACCACTGGTGCATTTTGTGTGATGGAAAGTGGTGATGTAGTCGAAGATAATAAAGCGAACTGATTTAGCTCAACTAAACCCTATTAATGTTTATTTAGAAGACACTCACATTGTTATGAAATACATTAAATGCTGATCAATTATTTTATTTCTATGCTATAAGCACGACGAACGATGAAGCATACCTTATAATTCAAATGAGTGGCATGTCAACATATTTGGTTGATCGGTAATATTAATAATATATTTCTTTATTGGATACTTAAGATTAAGTACACATGATAAACAATAAAAACAAAACTAAGCTTACAATTATGTACTTCTGCAATTATTATGAAGCTACTGACATTTAAACTAGGCAGATCTTATCTTAGTGTGAGATCACCTAAAGTTAAAGAGGGAGGGTAGAGTTGAGTCATTGAAACAAAACGAGTATGCGAATGAGACTCATGCGAATTATTAAAGGTACGATGTACATCAGAAGCTTGGCTTGATTTATCAGTAGAAAGATCGAGGTGTATACCGTATGACGCCTTTTTTGGCATTGGTTTGCTATTTACAGGATATTAAACTAGTACGCTCGGACAGTTAACACAACCGTGTAGATCTTTAAGAGTATTTAATTTATTAATCGGACATAAGTGAATAAATTTTGAACATTCATAATAAAGGGTTTTTTAATTGGCGCGGATAGATTTTGGAAGCCCATGGCGGCCATTTTGTTTAGGTGACATTTATGAAATCTTCTGCTTATTATTTAGTAACTTATGCCAAATCACCATGGCAAGTAGCACGATTGAACAGCATGCTCAAATGATAAAACTATATTACAGGACGATGATAACCAATTTATTATGTCCCAAATTGAACCATATGGACCTAGACGGCATTTGGTTTCAGCAGGATGGTTTTACGTGTCACACAGCGGACGCCATGATTGACATGGTCCGTGAGCGATTTCACGGTAAGCTTATCTCTCGCAGGGGTGATGTGAATTGGCCACGAAGGTCATGCGATTTAACCCGCTAGACTTTTTCTTGTGGAGTTTCTTGAATTCGCAGGTCTATGCAAACAAACCACAATCAACCGATGACATAAAGGTGAACATAACATAAGCCATCGCTCAAATTCAGCCAAATCTATGCAAAAGAGTTATTAAAAATTGGACTACTCGGATCCATGCCACTGTAAGAAGCCGAAGCGGGCATTTGAACGATGTCATATTCCGCAGTTAATGGCACATGTGGGCCATTGAGTGTGGAATATGACTCAGCGTTACTCCAGACGGTATTATTGTGAACGGCAGCACGGAAAGAAGTAATGAACATTGAGAACTTTTATATGTCGCCATCAAATTTTGGGAAACGATTTTCATAATATTTACGTAATTAATTTGAATGTTTCAATTCTAAATCGTGATTTTTGTTGTCTATAAATCTAGTATAAGCATCCTTAATTACATAAAACTAGTCATCGAATAATCATAATGACTCGAAGTTAAGTATAAACTTTAAATTTAAGCTGAAACTCAATGTGTTATTTTCATTATTAAGCTCAATAAACTCGTTACAAAAACTTTCTGAATTCTTAGCTTGCGAAATAAATAAAACATATTCAGGCGTGTCACGTGATTTTGAAATATAATCATAAATTGATTTTATGCGTTTACAGTATGAATTACCTTTTTAGAACTAATTTGTTCATCTTTACGGGAAGATATATTGGAATATAACGCCGGTTACATACAATAAAAATACGTAAAGTAATTTCAGTCAATAAAGAGTGTTTCATTAAAAATGCAATGATGCGACGGTGGCAATAATTACGTAATAATTATAACGTATAATCCGAATCGTATGGACCAAAAAAATGGTTAAAAGAGAGACAAATAAAAGTGGACTGTAAGTTTATTTGATATATGCGGAAGAGTAAGATCGGTGAGGAAGATCGGTGCCTTAAAAAAATAAAATGCGGAATACCTGTGGAAACTTTCACGACATTTGAACAAAGCAAAACATTTAGCTAATCCAAATTCCTCGGCTTGACGAATATGTGAAATACTCCACTAAGGCAGTTTCAATATATTTTTTTATAGAATAAGGGTGACAAACGAGCACACACTCCACCTGGTGGTAAGTGGATGCTGTGGCCCAGAAAGATCTACATTTATTCGCGGGTTTTATGCCGTCAAAGGAAAAGGTGAAATCTCCCACCGAGCGAGGTGATAGGCCCGCGGAGCGGCCCATATAGCGCGGATATATAGCGCGTTAACTTCGAAAATTTAATAGCGAGATTTAGGCTTGGGTGTGTTTCGCTCGCTGTAAATTTCGCAGTACGTGAGCAACCTGGGTTCGATCTCAGTTAGCACCAATAAAATCGTTAATTGCAATTTGAAGTGCTGATTTATCACGTGTTCAGCGGTGAAGGAAAACATCGAGAGGATCAACGAACATCAAGGAACATCAGATATGTAGGTTACATATCTGAGAAATAAGAAAAAAATATTTCGAAGACATATGAAGTTCGTCAACACGCATTAAGGCAGCGCGGCGGACATTTTCTGGTCCTAAAATTCTCTTAGAAATGAGAGAAAGTCTATGCCCAGCTATGGGACGTCTACAGGCTGTAATTTTAACTCTTATGAAAAATTCTCAATAAATTTCAGAAAATACCTGACAAATAGCGAATCATTATTCACATAATTTTGCCCCTAATTAACTTAGGCAATTTTTTGTATTTCTTATGCGGATCTCACCATTTCAACTTAAAGACCCTCAGGACCATATCGCCTAATCCTTTAATACTTATACTTATACTCTAATTTAGATGCAGATATCCTTGATACCGTCTCCGAGCTAAGCATTTTTCATAATACGTCAAGTCACTTTGAACTTCTTCGTTCAGTGTAATCATTGGGAATATCGCTTGACCAAAACATAGATTGGTAAGAGACCACAGGGTTAATTGTGAACTGCGATCGCCATTTCATCTGGTAACTTAAAAACTTTGGAGTAACTAAAGGGGAAGTATGCGTTTAGTAGAATGGAATGAATAAAAATACTGATGGTATCTTGGATTTAGTAATAAATATTTTGTGTCACATATTTACCAAACTCATCGGCTGCTACCAGTTTTGAAAGTATTGATCTCAAAGCCAACAGTGATGTCCCGTTCAAAATTTCAAACAGAGGTGCTAAAACATTAAAAAAGGCAAATTAGAACAAGTATTGAAAGTATAAAGTAAAAAAGTTATATATTTTGAGCTTTGTATGGTATATTATTAAATTTATCCAGAGCTCTACCAAGTGGACCCTCGAGGGAGAGGGGCCCCAATATGGCTATATTAAGCTACTGTAATATTTCTGGAAAAAATTTCCCTTAAGAAATATATATCTGATATAGCGTCAACTTGAAGACGACGTTATTAAATTTAATATACTAAATAACAAAATTATATTGTGATACATTACGATAAACGAATTTGTCATAACTCAAACCGTAGAGCCGGAATAGCGTAGAGGCCAGACGTTTGCCTTAAATTTCATACTGCAAACGAAAAGTGCAGTTTGTGTAATAATTTACGGTGAAATTAGATCGTTGAGAGGAAACTTAAATATTAAAGCAATAAAATGTAATCCAAATATACTTTGTGTATGATAATATTTTATACTCAATATAGAGCAAATGTTAAAATAATCGTTTGGAAAATCCAAAAGTACACGTCTTCGCGTTTAATTTAATTTTGATGAAAGAAATAAATTGTATTCCTGACTTTTAATATACGAGTATATTATTTACGTGTATTAAATTTAGTGCGCTATTATTTAAACAAGTACTGTCTAGTATAGGGAAAAAATTTATAATGTTTACCAAAATAAAACGATTATAGAAAGTATAAGATCGAAATATGCTCTATGGTACATTCGTCCTTCCTTCAAGGGCTACAAAATATGAAAATTATTCGCTGTAGAGCTAACTTGCCGATTAAAGCATTGAGTTGCGACATACTGACTTTGTTAATTTTTGTAAAGTAGCTAAAGCAAAAGGAGACGCTTCCATAAATTTGAGCTTAGGTGTTCACAAGATGAAATTAAGAACATTCGAAAGCTTTTTGGTAAACATTTCATAGCTGGAAATCTGGTAAGATTTGTCAATCTAGGAGCTCGGTTATCGTAAAATAAATAAAAGTGTTATGTATACTGTAACAGTCGTTTTTCACTAAAGTAATTAAATATACAATTATATTTATAATTTCGCATACCTACGATAAGAGGCATTACAATTAAAATAATGGCCCATGATGCCAATACTTAATCAGGGTCAGTCGTGTAGGCAAGACTCACGATGCCTAATAAAGAATCAAAAGTCAATAAAAAGCAGGATCAGTATAAAGTCATTAAACAAAAGCTATGGTTATCAAGGAAACGAAATGGTCAAACAATAGGGTATAACACCCATTTTCAAAAAGTGTTTTAAATGAATCCTAGAGTGATAATGAACCACTATAATTTTATATAAAGTTTTAAAACCGAATAGTGACATAAAAATTACTTTTAATCTATCGTTTTAAATTTTCGCGTAAAAACGCTAGCTGCCATTCTGCTCAACTCGTGACGTCACTGTCCAAGAATTTTGACAATTATGCAAAGGAATAAGATACTTTTGATTTTTTAACAATGAGTTATCATCTATATCATTGTTGTATTGTGCCTGATTGCAAAAATAAGAGCATAAGAACGCCGGGGAAGATATGGATTAAAGTGCCAACTGATTTAAATATGAGAAATACTTGGTTAAAACTGGCAAGAAGAGACCCGAAGGCATTGTCTACAAAATCTAAACTATACTACTGTGAAGATCATTTTGATGTAAGTATGACTTATATTTAACTATCAATTAAACAAAACAAAACATCATGACATCATAGGTACCTATTGCAAGTCAAATTTTGAAATAGATTAGGTTAATCGCTCGTCTGTCCCGCCCTTTGTAGGCCATTTTGATAGCTCTTGCAAGTGCAGTGCAGTGTTTTACTTAATTCCTGTTTACTTCTATTATATGGGAATAAAAACATGGTACAAACCATGTCTTTTTAATTAAAAGTCACTTTTTTATTTAAAAAAGTCACTTTTTATTTCGTCTGACGGTTTGTACAAAAAATATAACAAAAAGTTTTTCTCACCTAAGCTTATATTATAATATCTATAACATTTGTGCTAAAAGCGAAGTAATAAACTCGCTTTTACGAATCCATCTTCCATGATGCCTTTTCAATAAAATTCGGAATAACAGTCGACAATCGTAATGATAACTTGAAAATTTTGGAAATTAGCTAGTTAGTACACAGCACATAACCTAGTTCTTTGACTTAGTGATGTCACGACACTATCTAATATGGCGGACATCGTTTTGCAGATTTGGGACACAGGTAAAAAAAATATTCTTTAAATTGAAATATAAAATTTATAATGCATTTTTATAAATAGAAATCAATATTTCTCGTTTACTTTTTACAAAATCTATCATAAATATATATTCTTCGATTTGTTTTTACATGGTGTAAAATACCCTATTAACGGAAGTTAAAACAACTACCAGTGACAAATGTAGTAAATATTAAGCATATCGTGCTGAGATCGATTACTCAAATTGTTGTTGTTACTGTTTATGAACAAATGCGTATGGTGATGCTATGTATGTTTTTTATTACGTATTTTGAACATGTGAACGCAATTATTTTTTATCTCCCTAGTTAACACAAATTCTCTTAAATAGATCTTAAAATGCTCGATTTATTCGAAATTCGCTTGTTTCAAATGGAATCGAAAATTGGTCTTTTTTACAAATTTATGCGAGCAGTTCTGATGTATGAAGAGTTGTCAAGTTTTGATAAAATGAAAAGACGTTTAGTGTTACGAATGGTTCAGAATAGGGAATTTCATTAGTGTATCGTTTCTTTATTTTAATCGATTTATAGATAAAAACAATTATTTCCTTTTTTTCTTTTACGAATAATATATTTTATTTCTAATTGGGTTCAAATATCATTCAAAGTAAATTACGGAATTTTATTGAAAGCTTTTTTTTTGGATCCGAATAAATATTAAATCGATTGTATTAATAAGATCGATATTTTCAATTATTTCTCATTTTATGATTTTTGAATTCTAGATTGTTAAACGAGCCAGTTTTTTGTATTTTAATTCAGATAAATAAAGCCAAGTTTTTAAAGTATAAACTAATTCGTTAAATTTAGGCCCAATTATCCCACTCTCCTTTACTTGAGTGAATCCTGATGTTTTTATTAAGAAACGCCGCATCTTTCACATTAGGCCCGAAAATTCTTTATTAATTTCGTTATCGTTTTGTTTTCTCCCGGAACATATACTATCGAATTTACATTTTTCTATTAGGTTCCGATTATCAATTCGTTTTAACTTTGCAATTGAAATTAACAGCGTTTTTAAAATAAATTAAAGGTTATTTTTGATAACTTACTCGTATAACCTGACATTTGTCACGTATATTTAATCGCATATCATGTGATTGTCTTATCTAAGGTGTCTAAGGTTTATTGTCTACCGTGATGCACGGGAATGACGTTAACGGGAGATATTCCTATTTCATTACTTGATAAACCAAATCTCTGAACTATGATTATTAAATCATAGTTCATTGCAATTATTCTACAACATATCATAAAAATATAAGTTGCGGGTATCTGTAATATATTTGTCGGAAAGAAAACCATTAAAGCCAGGGCAAAAGTTAAAATTGTGCAAAACTTTCATTCCAGTCAAATGATGTCAAAAACCTAAATAGTTCTAATGTCCATTCTATTATTTTATTTTAACTCTTAGTGATGCAATTTTTTTTGTTGTTTTATATCCGAAATTTAGATATTTTGATTACATAATATATTTTGACATATTGTAATCGTGCTATTATTTCAAATTGATTCTGCCAACATTTGAAGTTGTTCATGTATTATATACCATATAGACCATAAATAAAATTGATGTGTCTGTTTGTAATATCAAACTGACTACCTTTTATTGAGCTGAGGGGGTTATCTGAATATCTGTATGTCATAAAGGTATTAGAAACCATTTTTAAAACTTAGTCGTGTCTTTTTGCTTATGTTCGGGATTATCTCCGAAAATATTCCAATAAAACTTCAAGAACAGATAGAGAGAAATACCCGGATTGACCTAGGCTAATTTTATTAGAAAAAATTAGAGATTTTTTTTAAATCATAAACTGGTTAAATAAATGATCCTTGAGGATTATCTTATATCGCAACATTAATAGAGCCGGTGAAGTCGTGGCAGGTCGCTGGTTAAAGGAATATTTTTTTTTGTAAATAGAAATAACATATTAAAATAACTTACCGAGAAAAAATACCCATTGGCTGCGTGCAAAGCAATATGCAAAAGATCCTAAAATTTTGCTCACAGTAGAAATAATTCCAAGCAGCGCATCGTGCCAGCCTAAATATTTACTAAAAAAGAGTATCGAAAATAGAGCACCTGAAATGAAAGTTTATTTATCTATATTATGTTGCACATTTGTAAACGTAATGAGAATTAGGACGACAGAAAAAAATTTGGAATAAATTATTAATAAATAGAGACCGTGTAGTGGCGGTGTAAGAATATCAAAAGAATTGACAGAGGGAAAATGAAACAGGAGATGGGCAGCAGCATCTTCCTGATAACAACTCAAAATAATTTAAAAAAAAACTGCAGTTATCAAACTTGGCGTAGCAACTATGGCAATATCCCCTGGGAAAGGTATAAGGGAGGCCTATGTTAAGCATTAGGCTTTTATAAGCTGTAATGTAATGGGAAGACAAAAATAAACATTTAATAAAATATAAGGCTGTAATGGATGAATGAATGAAATTATTACGAGGTTTTGGCGGGAACTTGACCGGCGGCGGTTTGCTGCTCCAGTATTGTTGTTTAAATAATGGTTTGAAGTGGACTTTGATATGTAAAAGTGGTGCGATTTTGTATATTAAGTGTCTGCGCATGTGAACTATTAGTGGAAACTGTGAAACAAGTGCTCTGATGGTGATGTGATTCTCAAAATAAGGTGTCTATCTGCTTAGGCGCCTTGAGATACCATCGCCAACGATCGGCTGCCTGCTGGCTCAAGTTGCCGTCAAAATCTCCCAAGGGCTGCACATGGTGACGCATCAACATATTGTGAAGCAGTCTACTATGAAGGATAATTATTATAATATATTGTAACTTCAGGCTCAGAAAGGCTAGATCCCAGAGCCTTAAAACCAGTTATTAAGAAGAAGAAGAAATTATTACATATCACTAAATACTAATTGAAAATGGGCCAAATCAAGAGTACCTTTAACCGACGAGCGTGTATGTGTAGGTATATGGATGTGGAGGAAGCGAGAGAGGTGTGTCAGAATCGTGCCAAATGGAAGTCCATAGTCTCTGCCTACCCCTCTGGGTGACAGGCGTGAGTGTTTATACTATATAAATACTAAGTAGTATATCGAAGGAACGAGGACGGTGTTTGTAGAACTGATAACATACACAGGTAAGTTCTTAAGTATGCCATATTACGCTGACAACAATTCTGTGACTAAACCTTAGAGGCAGTTAACTGCGCTTAACTTACTTGATGTGAAAGATTCAACAGGTACACTTATTTGTGCTTTCTTTACAGGAGAGGGAGCAAACGAGCAAACGCCTCACCTGACGGTAAGTGACACCCACCGCCCATGAAACACTGCAACACCAAGGGTATTGCAGGTCCGTTGCCAGCCTTTTACAAAGGAGTAAAGTATTTTCTTGAAGGTCCCTAAGACGTATCAGTACGGAAAAATCGTCGGTGGTAATCTATTCCACAGAGAGTTCGTACGCGGGAGAAAACTACTAGTGAAACGTGTACGCTTGCTGTCCACCACTGTGGTGTGGATGGTATCGAAAGTTTTGCCGCGATGTGCGTTCGTGAAATTTGGCGGCTGGGGTTAATTCGAACAATTCCTCATAGCAATTCCCGTGGTAGGTGCGAAAAAAAAATGCAAAGGGATGCAACATCTCTTCGCAGCACCTGTGAATCGAGCCGATCGGAAAGGACTTGATCATTGACGATGCGATCCGTTCTGCGCTGTATGCGATCAAGTGGAATTAACTGGCACTGGAGAGCCCCAGCCCAGATAGGGAAACAATGTTCCATGTGAGGCTGAACTGGCGCCTTTTACTGTTGCAGGCGGTGTGCCGGCATGAAATACTGTCCCGCTCTGCTGAGCACACGAAGATTTTCAGAAGCCAATTTGACCTTCTCTTCATAGTGACCACGAAACTGCACGTCACTAGACATGTCAACGCCGGGGAATCCGATACTGGCTGAGGCAACAAGAGGAGTGCTTTGAAACTGAGGGGATACGACTATTTAGCGGTAAACGCGCAAACTTCTGTCTTCTGAGGATTAAAATGGACTAGATTTAGTCGTCCCCAATCCGAGACTGTTCAGCAGTCTTGGATGGGGGCTTCAGCTTGAGCGCTTATATGCTTAGATTTGAAGTGGGTCAGATTTCAATGATGCGAATCTTGGTGAAGATACGAGCATTTCTGGCATTCATTTAAACTCAAGTATCTCACTTTCTTGATTTGATCCAAGGTCACGTGACACTAGCATAAAATTAGCTGTCCAAAGCTCAACCTGATGACTTCTCAACCCGCAGGTTTTTAAGTTCACAGCTCGACATAATCCTTTCCAAAAATGCGCCAGCATTAATTAACTATATGTATATGCCAGCTCATTTCTGGTAGTAAATATTTGGAGGGCATAATTAAAAGATACAGACTAACTCATTTATGTCAGATAGTATGATTTTTGCGTCTTTTGAGACATCCAAATCGTGGAATAAATAACATGGTTATGGCTATAGATGAGCACCTGAGACAAACGCTACGGAGAGAGCCCCGGATTTATTGCAAATAGTCACGCCGCACTCAGACTTATAAATTAACTTAGCTGCGTTAATTGTGATTTAGTCTAATGAAAAAAAATGCGCAAAGGACGTTGTTAGACCACAAAGATATGTTGCGTTAGAGCAAAATAAGGAAACAAATTAATGAACCTAACTTTTGTAATACAAGCCGTATACACATTACATAGGAATAGAGCAAATATAAATTCTTGATAGAGTTATTTCCGTATTTACTACTCTGGTTTTGAGTAAGGTCATGACAATTTTTTGGGATTAAGTCAGTCGCCAAAGTCTCGTTATTTAACTAGCAAGATACACCAAAGATATGGTTGACCAGTTGTCAACTCACCAGTTGTGTTAAAACGCAAATTATTGGTTTTTGAATGTGGATGTGTAATTTCCGTCGTGTCTCCTAACACTACATCCTTGCCCTGATCTTAGATATACATTAATTGCAAAAATATGGTAACGTTATGGCTGTGATAAAAAGTGACCAACGGAGAAACATGACTTACGTAACATAGCAACATCTACATTGTGTATGAAACGGAGTGGCCTTCCAACGCGGAACAAATATAAGTCAATCCACAGCTCACGGTCAAGTGGCTTGTCCGAAGGCACTTAAATTTGCGAGTAAGTTCACGCATGCACGTCGCAAAGAGTGACACAAAGCACCTTTCATAGCCACCTGCATCCATCGAATTCCTGAATCTCATATCAGGTCCTTACTCTATCTAATACAATCCGCTTACCGGTACAAGACCGCCACACGGGAATCTTTCTTCATTTCTTTTCTATTGGTTTTTCAAAAGGCCACTGCTGATGATAGACTTGTTATTTGCTATAGTTGCCAGCCTTGGCAAGTGAGTTAGCAAACACAGTCGATTTTTTATTTTTTAGTTGTTATTACGAAGATCTCCACGTCTCCTGGTTTGTTTCCTTATGCCATCTCTTACGAAACCCACGTAACGATGCGAGACGATTTGGCATAAATGTAAGTAAATTTACTTATATCTGTGCGTTACAAATACTTTTTAAACAAAGACATTCAAATATTTACAACCGGATGAATTTTTTTGCTTTTAAATCATACCACCTTTTATATTCTGCACGAATGGAATTAAGTGTCAGATTTTATTTTTCCTAATAATAAATAATACATATTAAATAATACATATGTCTTACCTGATGCTAAATACTTCGGAATACTATTTCTTGTTATATTATTTATTGCATATGATTTTATATTGGAATAAAACTTACCTATTGTATGTGTCACAAAATTATAAGTTTGAAAAATACTGAATTTGACTTCGTCCCAGTTGAATCTGTATCTAGTGGATATGTATAAAACTGATATTTCACCTAAAATTAAGCATTTATTAATAATGTAGTATTTATAATTCGATAAGTTAATATAGTTTTAAACAATTATTTAAATCTTCAAGGATAAAGTTAAAAAAAAATAAGATAGCGCTAATGTATAATTAATTATATTAAAATTAAAATCAAGATATATAATAGGATTTAATTTGAACAAATGTTTTTACCATGCATTGGACCAAACAATATAGCGACCACAACTAGCAAGACGATAATTCGCGCTCTTCTATTATTAGGACCATGTTTTAATATAGTTGCAAATATTTCCTTTATGTTTGTAAGATCGAAAAATGCACGTAAAAAGCAAAGGAAGCCCTGGCCGCCTACCTGGAATGTTTTTTCGTTATTGTAAAATATATTTATTTCAGATTTTACATCAATCTATTATTCAATATTACAGGGTAATTAACAAGTAAAACATTTTTTTTAATATCTATTCATTTATATTTCATAGCTACAAAGATTGTGAGTATGAAATATTTTTTATTCATGAGTAAATATTTAAAAAAAACTCCATCTCTTCATCATTGTCATCTGAATGATCTTCAACGTTAGGTAGCTAAACTACGTTGCTTCAATAATTATTCTTGTTAATTATATAGCATAACTCGCTGACCAGACAGACTTTGTTCTACCCTTTCCGACGACCATTTGCTTTCCTAAATAAACTGAAATTAGCAATAAAAAAATTAAAGGTCACTTATCGGGATAAAAACTATCCTATCTCTCAAGTTGGACCAAACTATACACAGTGTGCAAAATTTCATTTAAATCAATTCAGTAGTTTAGGAGTACATTGCGGACAAACAATGTGACATGTAATTTTTATATATAAAGATTAATATTCATAAATATATTATAATATTATCTTGAACACGCTTAAAATAAATAATAATCATAATAAAATTCCTATATATTCTCAAGGATGAATTTATTACCTGATATAATCTATTATTACCTAGGGCTTAACCACCACTTACCACCAAGGTAAGGTTTGTAGATAAGCACTGGCTTTTAATATTATTATGTATTTATTACCTTATATTATCTATTATAACCTATGTCTTAACCACCACTTACCACCAAGGTAAGGCTTGTGATAAACACTGTTTTTTTAATATACTTTAATATTGTTATAATAAATATGTAATGAGAAAATATTCCTTTTCTGTTAATTAACATGTTTTTACGCGTCTATAAAGTCGTCCACAATTTTTAAGGTCCAAATATCTCGAGTTTCGGCTGCCAAGCGTGGCAACTATCTTTTACTCACTTTAAGGGAAGGCCTATATAATCAGTGAACTTGATAAGCTCTAATGAATGAAGAAATATTAGGCATTTTATCTCCGGAGGTTATAACGCATCTGCATTGTGATTGATCAAGGATAAATGTGAGTACCACACTCAATTCCCGTCAGGTATAATGTAGCAAACATTACACGTTTGTCATCTTACTTGAATGTAGGTAATATTAGCAAAAATTAAAATTGTATACATATTAACTTTTATTGCAGGAGAAGGTAATTCATACTACATCATCATTTACAAAAATATTTTATTCAAATTGAATATTTTGACCGACTTCAAAATGGATGAAGTACTCCATTCCATTATATGTTTTTATGTGTGTAACCTAATTTTTTATAGGTGAACTGATTTCGATTATTATTTTTTTTATTTCAAAGCTGATGTTTTTTTATGTAGTGGGACTAAAATATCAATAATTTAATATTGAAGTCGGTTGTACAAAATTTTTAAATGTACCCCTTGTTTGTAGTTGTTTATGCAGCATTATGAGGCATAATAAATTCCTAATATTATTTACGTTTTATATTATAAACTACGAAATATGTCCTAAACATACCTATCATTTGTCACATTTGATTTTTTAAGGATTTTCAAAGAAAAACCAAAATGTAAGGGAGAATATAGTTCCCCAAACACCAACCAAAGCACAGTTACATGTGGTTGCATCCTACTGATTGATGGACGAGGTTCTGCGCAACATCCTGGCACCATCATAGATGCATTCGAAAGAGAGCGTTCATGGTGTCAGTGATTTCCTTTAAGAACCGAGCATTTTGTGTTGCGAGCTAAAGGTTTTTTTTTTCATGAAATTTCCGATAAGCTTATGACTTACGATGTGCCTATTAACGTAGAAATTGGAGGAGGATCGGACCTTATTATTTTGCAGATGCAGATATATTAAGACCGAGCAGTGTGATGTTTTTAATATAAATAAAATGCAAATAATGAAAATTTTATCTATCTATGATGCGAAAGATGCAGAAATTACATAAAATGTATATCGGCACGTCTATAAAATACGAGTTGGATAGAGAGTGAGCGAGAGGTTGCTTCACTTTAGCGGAGCGTCATATCGATGGTGGTGAGGTAGAATTGAGTGTAGGTCGTTGGTGCAGTATAAAGTTCACTGTAAGCGAGTCATTCTACGAGTGATAAGATAGTATCGTGGTTCTTCTGGTGCAGGCAAGGAGGATGGTGTTGCTAAGAAGCTGATCTGTGCTGCAATGGAGATGGGTAGTGTTGCTGTTGGTTTGCATAATTTGGTATTATCATGTAATTACATCCCTCTCGTAACACAAGTCTGCAATTGTAACAGGGGCATATTACGGTATGGTCTAACTGTAATTATAATAAAGTTTACGCAGTTTTATTGTTGATAATGATTACTGGCGTAAGCAAGAGAGCAAGTGAACATCCGTTCCAATACTTTTACTACTTTATCAATTATCCTTTTACTTATGTATTTCAGGGATCAGAGGTGGGATCTCCTGTTGTGTTTCCGATATTTATTACAAAAAATATAATGGGCGAAACTGTTTTACATACATTAATTCTATCCGTTATAATATCTATGGCACTCTCTATTCGGGTTTGGATATAAATTGTCTCTTTTTTATCTGCTTACTATGTAAGTCAGAATATATAAAGCGATAACATACATTTTTAAACTCTACGAATGTTTTTATTAAAAACTATTACAATAACGTGTACTATTCTAAGAACACATGTATGAGATATAGTGTTACCAAAAGTAAAAATAGGAAAATAAATGTTTATAGATTACCTCTGTCTGATCCTTGGTTTTTGTAGTATCTTTTATAAAGAATAGATTGTACGTAAAGTTAGCAGCATGTATACCACATGCCAATCCATAACAAACATAATATCCATAAGTTTTGAGTAATATTCCACTAATACCCATTCCTACTGGAAATCCTGCTGTTAAGCTGAAATTTATTAATCCCATGCGAAACGTTCTATTTTTGATTGTTGTGATAGCAGTGATATATGTAAAGATCACCATAAAACAAACACACCAACTACCGGAAAATCCTTCTAAAATTCCTTCAGTTAACACAAAATATTCCAGACGGAGTTCATAGAAGAAATACGTATTTAACATGCCGTTAATGCAAACAAGAATCTGTCCTGCAATTGGTATGAGAATGAAAATTTTTCTCCGCCCTGTTCTATCTGACCATGACCCAACAAAAAGAGCAAAAACACAAGGAAAAGTTGCAGTCAAGTATGTTTTCCAAGCCATCGAAGCTGTAACTAATTTCTGTGTGTTTCTTTCATATTCATTTCGGCTTTCTATATCTTGCGCACGTAGAGCATTACATATATCTGTTGTAATGTTAAGATTGACGCGACAGGCTTTTTCAAGACTCAAGTTCTGTGACGTCAACGTAGTTAAAAGAAGCGATACCACAAAAAAAAACATTGTTGGTTCTACGGTCACATTTCTGAAGATATGTAAAAGCGTCGCTTTAACTGTCTTTTTCTCCTCAGGTTTGGTTTCTTCAATATTCTCTTTAAGAGGAACACTTTCAGTTAGTTCCATTGTATAGTCTTGATCATCACTGATATATTCTTGTGTTGGGGACATTCTGACTTTTTTAATAAAATTTACTAAAAATATTTAATAATCTGTAAACAGAACATTGTCACACTATTGACTTGCTAATAATATTTCTATATTATATAAAAACACAATTTACATTTTTTTTATCATTGTCGATAAAACTAGTCTTGATAACCGTTTATCGTTTATTGTTCTCGGAGTATTCCTAACACAATTATAAGTAATTTTAATTATAAGTACAAAGCACTGATAAGAACTATAGGTGAGGTGTTAAACTCTTTTGAATCTCTGTAATTCTACTGAAAAGTATTATTGCTCTAACATAATAATTATATAAATAATCATAAAGGTGATGCTAAACGCTATTTCAATGTATATTTTGCATAAATATTAAATAGTGTATAAGTTATATCACATGAAATCGCTTTTTATTTTTAGGTCATTTTGAGAACAAATTTTATAAATTCATTCTTATTTTTTTCAAGAATGAGGGTGACAAACGGGCGCTCAGTCCACCTGATGGTAAGTCCACCGTATGTCGTGGCATACAAACATCTATATCTATCCTCGATTAGGAATCAAAATGCAGATGCAATGCCAACCCTGAGAACTAAGATGGTATGCCTGCAATCACAGCCAATGTGGTGAACCTCAACGTAATGAGAACAATACAACTCGAGACCTTCAAATATTTTAACACGATTTTATTAGCTTGGTATGAATCTATATAAGGAAATTTTTGAATATGATTTTCATCTCCTTCAAAACGTCGAAATGATTTGAAACTTCGCACACTTATCAAGGACCGATGACAATGCAAGAGTTTAAATAGTTTGCCTCATTATCCTTACCTGAATACCGAAATACCCTGGATTTGCGAATAATTCATTAAAAAAACCTATGATTACTGCCAGTTCACTGTAAGATGCGTAAAAGAACTTCATTCCAAAAATAAAAAAAATCTACAAAAGCGTGTTTTTTGTTTTAAAAACAAAAAAAACTAAAAAAAAAACAACAAAATAATGGGATGCTTTTTGGATATTTTTATGATGACCCAAATTTTACAAATATCCACAATAATATTTACAAAAGTGACATGAAGGGCCCCACGCTTTTTTAGAATAAGATGAATATTTTATGTTAATTACTAATAAAATGATTTTAAACATATTGAAAATTATTTTCTACTTTTTATTTCAGTTATCTACAAAAGCATGTTTTTTTTACTTTTATTAAACTATTATTTATTTTAGCTTTAAACCTAAATTATCGTTCTCATGAACCTTTTTTGCTCCCTCTCGAGCAAACATTATTTACGGTCTCAAGCTTCTGCAAGCCTCAGAATCTGAATCGAAATCGCAGCATTGGAGTCTTTCCTGTTTCTGAAATCTATTATATGCGCTATTTTTCAAATAACAGCAGTCTACTACTTACAACTACTTGAACACTTAACTGTACCATCGACCTAGTGTCTGTGCAAGGGGGTGGAAGTGGCGGCGCTGTCGTCACGTCAAAAAAACTGAAGCCTAAATCATGCTATAGAAGTTTCCAGCCGACTCTGTATATATAAATCAAGCTCCGTACTAGCACACGGTGCATTGGCTTCCGGGGCTAAACACTGCCTGATTGGTGATCTCCCCTTTTCTTTAAATAGCAGAAATAGAATAACCCAAGGTAATTGTTGTAAACCATCATATGTGCACAGTTTTATTTTATAAAACTGAAGTGACTAACAAACTTACAGTACATCTGAAGGTAAGTGGCTACTACAGTTCTAAGATACATGCAGCTGATTTCAATAAGTAAGGATTCCAGTAGTTAATCTGTACCAGCTCTGGCTCACTGAGCCAGAACTGGTACAACTCACCATCCTCAGCCCTCATCGACTAACGGTAGGTTGACGGATTCTAAAAGAAAAGGGTTTGGCATGCTCTGATCACGAATTTGTCCGTTTTTGATCAAGGAGATGTGCAGATCAATTAACTTATATCTAATTGATATCCGGTTGACCGGGTATCGATCGAAGAGGGTGCACCCTCATTAGCGTTCCATTGTTCCGCCTTTCCTCTTATCTATTGTTCCTTGAACACCGTCATGGTCGCTCTTATCTATTACTCGTTATACACCCTGCTTATCAGTGCAAATGTATTATACTTCTGTGTTCACAACTACCACGCTTTTCTGAATCATTAACAAAACACATTCCTCAATTTTGTTACAATTTTTATTTCCAAAATGTTATTGCTTATTATCTATAAAATAGGAGCGAAATATCTTATCCACTAAAATATTGTTGTACAGTATGTTCCCTGTAAATATGTTCGTAAAACTATGCATTGCATGCATATCCCTGTAACTTATATAGCAAATACATTAAACAATATTCACCACAAACTGAAGTCCACTCATTCTGAATCCTATCAACATTCCAGTCCCCTCTTTTACAATTCCTTTTTAAAATCTCTAGATGATATCATGCAGATGATTATCCATATGAATCAAAATATTGACCGATGCCATTCGTATATAATACATACATAAAGCTATCCAATGTGTGCCTGATTTATCATCTGTATCCAAATTGCATATTATATACGTTGGTACGTGGGTATACATGGGTAGTCTATTAGCAGCATAAACATTATTTTCTTGACTGGGATGAAACTTTTTCAGACGTTGTTGTACATCTAGTGTATCCTTGATATTACTGCTATTAGTAGATTATTACAGTACCAATCTATTAAATGGTTAACATAGGAATGCATAATTATAGTGACTTGTAAATATTAAATCGCATTATTTTGTGACGATTTGTAGGGGTCATTGGTGTACTCGTAGCGCAAATCGCGATACGAAAGAATGAAAAAAATACTATCAGTTTCACTGCGGAAATGCTTTAGATTATATATAAATTACTGGTGCTATATAAGACCGAGCAGCTGCAGTCATGGAATCAGTGTATAGTCGTTTAACCTATCAAGTGGATCTACCAAGTGTTTATGCAATTGACAAACTTTCTTTTTTTTGTTGTTTTCTTACGCGCGCGCGCGCGCGTGTGTGTGTGTGTGTGAGTGCGCGCGTGCGTGAGTGCGTGCGTGCGTGCGTGCGTGCGTGCGTGCGTGAGTGCGTGCGTACGTGCGTGCATGCGTGTGTGCGTGCGTGCGTGCGAGCGTGTATGCATGTGTGCGTGCTTGCGTACGTGAGTGCGTGCGTGCGAGCGTGCGTGCGTGCGTGCGTACGATCGTGCGTGCGTGCGTGCGTGCGAGCGTGCGTGCGTGCGTGCGCGGGTGCGTGCGTGTGTGTGTGGGTGTGTAACGTAAACCTGTTTGACACACTCCCAATCTTTACAACGTTGTTAACGAGAGACTTGTGGACGATAAATCCGACACATCCTTGGGACAGATGGTCCCCTCCCAGTGATAGAACAAATTGCCGGATTCGATGATTACCGTGTCCTCCTCCTCTCTTCGGACATTGGATAATCCTATGACATTCAAGCGCAACTTGTCTATCTCTTCTTCCAGCTCCAGGATCTTCTCGTCAGTCCGCAGGGTTTGTACATTATAAGTTGCCAGTTTGAGTTATCGTAGGTGGCAACCGAACACCGTACAGTGGTAGAGCCACGCGGCAGATTTTGCTGTCGCACGGATGGGCCGACTCGAATCGCAGTGGTAACACGACCTCACAGAATACCTTGCTTGATGATTGCAGGTGGCTGGAGGCCCAATTCCCCCCCCCCCCCCCCCCCCCATCAACATGGTAGCGGAATTGAACAGAAGACTACCCCAGGAGGATACCAGCACCCCTGGAGAATCCCTCGCTGAACATCCACAACCAAACTGCTCCACTCATGGGCGTGGGTGCTCAAGCTGCCCCGCGTATTCTGGGAAGGGGGGGGGGGGGCAAAATTCCGCTCGCGACTAATACTTCTCGGGGCAAGCGGAGCAATAAGACCAAGGCGACCCCTTTCACGCTATCCGTGAATTTTTGCAATATCAGCGGACTTCATTCCAACCTTAAAGCTGTCCATAACCATCTAGAGACGGCGAAGCCGGCTTTGCTCTTTATAACTACTTTATACTTTATATCTCTCCTACCTGGGGTACAAATTCGAACACACCTTTGTGCCCCGGGCTGGAGTTTGCGTATACGTCAGAGAGGACATCTGTTTTCAACGCCTCGGCAGTCTTGAAGGTACGGGCCTGTCCATCCTATAGCTGTGCGTAGACAGCGACGACCATCCCCGCGTCTACGGGTGCCTCTATAGGTCCCATAGCAGTAATGCCTACACAGACCGACTCATCGACCACGTCCAAATGGCTGCTGACTCCGTGCTGCAACAGGTCCTATCCTCAGAGATCGTGATACTCGGTGATTTTAACGCCCACCACGCTGAATGGCTACCCATTTAACCGATCATGCGGGTAGATCTGTGTATGACTTTGTCTTGGCATATGGTCTAACACAACTGGTTATTTCGCCTACGCGGATCCCAGATGTGGAGGATCATGCACCTTCCCTGTTGGACCTTCTACTGACCTCTCATCCGGACGGATATCAGATCTCCGTCGATGCCCCTCTGGGCTCTTCGGACCATTGTCTGATCCGGAGTACGGTGCCACTCACGCTCCCATCGCCGTTGCGATCTGCAGCTTGCTGCCGTGTTTGGCACTATAGGTCGGCCGATTGGGACAGGTTGCGGTCTTTTTTTGCATCCTACCCTCGAGGGCGGGTTTGATTCTCGCCGGAAGATCCCATCGTTGTTGCTGATTCTGTTGCTGATGTGGTATGGAATTCGGGCTATGGAACTTTTTATTCCATCCTCTGTGGTGCCCATCGGAGGCAGATCCCAGCCATTGTTTGGTCGCTCCTGTAAAATAACATCACGCTATAAGCAGGAGTGCTACCTGGCCTGGGCTGACGCATCAACGTCCCGGGATGTAAACACCAGCGCTCTTAAAAAGAAGTATAATTCCGCCTCCACTTCCTTCAAAAGTGTCATTGCCAAGGCAAAGTCAGAGCAC